TTATCATCGTACTTTACTTAACTTATGGGGTTATTGTGGTTAGGGATTGTCTCGATAATGTATTATTTAACGCTGCTCCATTGTCTGACTGATGGGACATCTGACTTATAGGGGTAATCCGCGCCTACAATCAATCTGTATTATATAACGTGAGCGAAGGTTGACGTCTATTCCGCATCACCAACCACGGACATTATATATCACCTGTCAAGGCCAGACACAGTACAGGAATGAGTCGATTTAGGAAACACCTCCACGGTATTGGTTTAACATTGTCACATACAAACGTATTTATTATTTATTCCGTATTCTCTAAATAACCAAATTATTGCTTATCGATCGCCTTATTCGGTGATGCATATTGTGACTGACTAGATTAAGTTTTACGCTGGAATTATTTCTATCTATGAATAAAACATTGACAAAATCGATCTGAAATACCCACTTTTGGGCTATACAAAAAGGGTGTGGTATCCAAACAAAGCATGGTTAAGCCTTAGACAACATGCAACGTGATGGATGCGTATAGTTACGCATGTATTGTGTACTTTCTCGTCATTAAGGAAATTATGGTTTTCCATGTTTTGTGTGATATGTTTGGCATTATCATCACCCCCAACCCCCAAACACCCCAACACCCCAACCCCACCCATCCCTTCGCTCTGTCATATTTGTCCCTACTGCCTGGTTGCTGGATAAACCACGATACATGGGGGTGTGAACAGATACGTTATACGATATTAATAAGGTTTTACAGTTACAAGTAGCCTAACCTAGACCTTGATGTTCTGTCATTAACAGCTTCAGAACTATATGGTTTCAATATGGCAACACGGCTTGTAATTGTTTCGGTAATTCTTCAACACAAGTCTTAGGGATATTTTATGAAAAGCAGTGTGTCAATCTTTAATCTCTTAAAACAGTTTTGTTCCGTTAATCACAATATTAGAAAACACTGGGAAGTTTATAGATCCCGAGATGGGGATAGCATTATAAGCTACGTACAGTATCGTGTTTATGTGCCAACATTACTTTCCTCGGTATCGTTAGAACCACTAGAGTGTACAGCTCTAATCCAATTTAATGTCATCAGATTGCTCTTCACCAAATGTGTTCTTTTCTGAAGAGGACGTCCTAGTTAACCTAAACAAGGAATTTCTCTATTCCGCAAGAATTTCGATGTCCTATAGTGACAGTTATTACACGCTAGTTCGAAGAGTGAGTGAGTGAGTTGGGATTAACGCTGCTTTTAATAGTATTCCAGTTATATCACGGGGTGTCAGCTTAATGTGGGAGGAAAGCCCGAAGTAATGCAGGTCTCAGACGTTTACCACTTTGGTGAAACCCACGAGCACGGGTATGGTGCTGACAAACCTAGAAACATAATCGGGGCGAACCGGGATTCGAACCCACAATCATAGGTTTCTGGCGTGCTCAAAGGACGCAATTCTGCACAGCGAATCGCGGCGCCTTAGACGACTGGGCCACCCGTGCCCTACTAGTTCAAAGAACGGCCATCATACTCCCTTGACAAGAGTTTCCGTTTTATGCCTAATGTTGACCTCATGTTATGTGTCAGAAATCCACGCGCTAGTGGAAAAAACACGTTAATTGTCGGCGTTGTTCACTTGCCAACAAGATGAAAGTGGTATTCTCCTGTTGCTATAAGAATGTACCGACACGTTTAAATCGCTCCACGCTCCCATATGTTGGCAATATGCGGCAGTTGACAGAATGATTGGCAATTACACGTCCGACATTCCCCGCAATCGCTGCCATCTCTGACTGGTAACATCATTAGTTCTTGGATGGCGTCTTCAGATGTTTATCACGGCGACTATTTGTTTTATTCTTTGGCACGTCCTTCTTGGACAGTTTAACGTGGCTGCATATAGGGCTGTCTGGGGGTACTTGTTTTAAGAACTTCAATAGAATGGGTTACTGTGGAAAAGTTTATTAATTGAGGACTAAAATAGAAACTTATCACATGAAACTCAGCTCTTCCAGTGACAACATTACCACAGTACTCCATGATATATTTTCACATTTACTACCACGTAAACATGTCATCCTTATTAAAAACTATCCTGTAATGTTGACACACTGATTCACAATTACCTTGTCAAGTTGACACACTGATATAAAACTATCTTGTCATTTGACACACTGACACAAAACTATCTTGGCATGTTGACACACTGACACAAAACTATCGTTTGTCATGTTGAAACACTGATTCACAATTACCTTGTCAAGTTGACACACTGATATAAAACTATCTTGTCATTTGACACACTGACACAAAACTATCTTGGCATGTTGACACACTGACACAAAATTATCGTTTGTCATGTTGAAACACTGACACACATTACGTCGTGCTGTTGGTGAATGTTTCATACTTCACATTACGTCGTGCTGGTTGTGAATGTGTCATACTACACACATGACTTCGTCTTGGTTGTGAATGTGTCATACTACACACATTACCCCGTGCTGGTTGTAAATGTGTCATACTTCACACATTACGTCGTGCTGGTTGTGAATGTGTCATACTATACACATCACGTCGTCTTGGTTGTGGATGTGTTATTGTGCCGCCTTGGTTGTGTATGTGTCGTGGTACACACACTACGTCAGGTTGGTTGTGTATGTGTCGTGGTACACACACTACGTCAGGTTGGTTGTGTATGTGTCGTTGTACACACACTACGTCAGGTTGTTGTGTATGTTTCGTAGTACACACACTACGTCAGGTTGGTTGTGTATGTGTCGTGGTACACACACTACGTCAGGTTGGTTGTGTATGTGTTATTGTGCCGTCTTGGTTGTGTATGTGTCGTGGTACACACACTACGTCAGGTTGGTTGTGTATGTGTCGTAGTACACACACTACGTCAGGTTGGTTGTGTATGTGTCGTGGTTCACACACTACGTCTGGTTGGTTGTGTATGTGTCGTAGTACACACACTACGTCAGGTTGGTTGTGTATGTGTCGTGGTACACACACTACGTCAGGTTGGTTTATATGTGTCGTTGTACACACACTACGTCAGGTTGGTTGTGTATGTGTTATTGTGCCGTCTTGGTTGTGTATGTGTCGTAGTACACACACTACGTCAGGTTGGTTGTGTATCTGTCGTAGTACACACACTACGTCAGGTTGGTTGTGTATGTGTCGTGGTTCACACACTACGTCAGGTTGGTTGTGTATGTGTCGTAGTACACACACTACGTCAGGTTGGCTGTATATGTGTTATTGTGCCGTCCTGGTTGTGTATGTGTCGTGGTACACACACTACGTAAGGTTGGTTGTGTATGAGTCGTGGTACACACACTACGTCAGATTGGTTGTGTATGTGTCGTAGTACACACACTACGTCAGATTGGTTGTGTATGTGTCGTGGTACACACACTACGTCAGGTTGGTTGTGTATGTGTCGTAGTACACACACTACGTCAGGTTGGTTGTGTATGTGTCGTGGTACACACACTACGTCAGGTTGGTTGTCTGGCATGACGAAGAAAGGATATGAGACCAGAAATTGCTTCGACATGGCGCCGTCACCATCTTCATGCTGCAGTGGTGACAATACCCCTGGAAGATGCACATGATTTACGCTGAAGAGGGTTTTTTACGATAACGTAAACGGGGAGCGCTCTAATGCAAAACAGATATGTTGCTTTCTATGGCCCCTTATGTACTGATTGTAGGAGAATAACGATAAGCATTTGGACAACAGGCTCATTTGTATTTAGGAAGAACAAGGACACAGTACTTGTAGTACAAGATAAGCGTAGCCCGCAAACCACTTTAATCCACTGGATTAAAGAATGTGTCTTTTTATGTTGCCAAAATGTTGACAAAATCTCATTAAATGTGTAGTCATGTTGCCTTGTCATACAACACATCAAATCTAGTATCAACGCGATTTAGTTATCAGAGGAGGTGTCGGGTGAATTAGGTGTGACTGTTAACCATTGTAAGTAGGTATTGACCTTATTGAACATGAGTACAAAAATTAAAGAGATTAAACATCACAATTGATTTCAAAAGTTGGTGGAAGGATGTCAATGATTTCATGATAGACGTTGAACCATACAATTGTATATTTTGGTATTGTATACAAACATGGTTAACACAAATCCAATTTGCAAAACATATCACTTTGTCTTTTTTAAATGCGACAGATCCATAAACACATCAACATCTCTTTGAATTTTTCAACGCCTCTTTTACCATATTTTGAATAAAAGCATACGTGAACCCAAGAATACAGTTTCGGTCCTTTGATGATGTGTCCAGATTGTTTTAGAAAACGTTTTTCATGAAACTGATTGCTTCCCTTCATTGTTTACTTTCAGGACATTCTCTATGTGGACAGCCACATTAATAACGTCAATATTTTCTTAAAAAATCATACATTCAGTTAATGTTCAGTGAACATTAAAATTTCATCAGCTACAATTAGACATTGATTAGGACAAGAGTCTTTTCCAAATAAATCCTTAGAGAGCCAGGAGCGCGGTTCTCTCACTGGGTGTAATGTGGTTGTGTTCACTCGTGCAATAACAGAACAATGTCAGTCTCGCCATATGTCATTGATTCCGACTCTTGACTATTAACCACGAAGAGTACTACTTAATACTGTATGTAGCCCTGTGTTGGGCTGGAACGACCGTCACGGTCGAAAGTGTAAAACTGAATGACCTCAAAACGGTACGGTAGATTTCATTTTAAAATGTCCTTGCGTTAGTATGTATTATGAATTTAAATAAAACAAGCGACAGTTTAGGAAACAATAACGCGAATTCTCATCATTATGAAATATGTTTTACATGTTGCATATATAATTAACAACTTTGTGTTGATTTTGTTTCCCAATATCCTGCTTGTAATATATCTAAAGAAATGTCACCAGGTTATTGCCCCTGGACATTCGGTGAAGAATGTTCACCTCGCTTGGAAGACATACTCAGTTTTCAACTTTTGTTTGCAGGGAAATTGCTTTTGGCATCGGGCTTGAACGCGATCCAGAAACCAGAGATGAACTGGTCGACACCACTGCCCCGAAGCACATCCGGGCATGACGTCAGCGGAAATGGTCCAACGGCGATGTTTACATCCTCCAATCAGACAAACGAAACAGATCATACACAAGAACAGATGATAGACTTTTTTCAGGTGCGCATCATCACCCTTAACGATACTTTGAATAGATTATTAATATATAAACCTTTCGTAAATAGGCCATTATAACAGAAATAAAGGGCTTCGTGTCTGGAAGAGAAAAGAAATGACACCGTGCTAGTTGTTATAATGTACTTGTTTTTTCTGTTAGTCAGGGCCTGGGTGGCCCAGTCGTAGGCGCTGCATTTTGTATCTAAAACCAAAACTCTATTGTCGAGGTCTGAATCCCATATTCGCCCTGTGTAGGTTTCTTGGTTTGCCCGTACTCTGGAGTTTCAGAAAGCTGTAAACTTCTGAGGCCTGCATCAATTCGGGCTTTCCTCCCATATAAAGCTGATCGCCGTGATATAACTGGAATGCTGTTGAAAGCTGTGTTAAACACACCTCACTCGCTGTTTGTATACCATAGGACGAGCAGATAGCATTTCTGGTGATTCTACTCCTGCTGATCATCGTCGGCAACTCGACTGTCCTCGCCGCCATTGCCCTCTCACGTGAGCGGAGAAGATCCCGGATGAACTTCTTTATTATGCACCTAGCTCTTGCAGGTAATAATGCCAAGTATAACTGCCATATTTCACATTGAATTACGATAGTCGTAACGTTTAAATTGTTTTGTAAAACGGGACTTTGTGTGTCAGGACTCCGTTCCACTCAGCACTCGTAGCGCTAAGGTGATCGTAACTCCGCACGTTAACATAGACTAACGACGGTCATAGCGCTAATCTCCCTTGGTGAAACGGGGCCCTGGAAACATTTTACTTGTCAAAATACTAGTCACAGTGATCACCAGGACCGAGTTTAATAAAGTGATCTTAGTGCTGTCGCAACACCCATACATATACTTCGTGGGAACTAGATCCAGATCCTTATTTTCTCCTTGGCATGAGTTATTGGGAACATGGGTTACAGCCTGTTTGGTAATACATCAAATATTGTTTTAATTAAACCCAACCCCAAATTTTTATACCATTACCTGCCGCTTGATGTTTGTGTATGGAGAGCGGCCGTATAACTGCATTTAAAAAACAAGAAACATTAATGTTTTTAATGGAAAAAGCTTTATAGTAATGAAGTTGTCATTGCAAAGTTTTGCCACATATCCAATGCAGTTGCCATTGCACATGTTTTCACATGTTTTAGTGACAAAACAACGAGTTCTAGTTGCAGTTATATGCAACAACGTCCTATATAGATAATAACACGCCCTGTTTAATACACTGAATTTGCATATATACTATATACACTGTGTATGTGTTACTCCAATGTGGTACATGGCACTGTGTATGTGTTACTCCAATGTGGTACATGGCACTGTGTATGTGTTACTCCAACGTGGTACATGGCACTGTGTATGTGTTACTCCAATTAGTACATGGCACTGTGTATGTGTTACTCCAATGTGGTACATGGCACTGTGTATGTGTTACTCCAATTAGTACATGGCACTGTGTATGTGTTACTCCAATGTGGTACATGGCACTGTGTATGTGTTACTCCAATGTGGTACTTGGCACTGTGTATGTGTTACTCCAACGTGGTACATGGCACTGTGTATGTGTTACTCCAATGTGGTACATGACACTGTGTATGTGTTACTCCAATGTGGTACATGACACTGTGTATGTGTTACTCCAATGTGGTACATGACACTGTGTATGTGTTACTCCAATGTGGTACATGACACTGTGTATGTGTTACTCCAATGTGGTACATGACACTGTGTATGTGTTACTCCAATATGGTACATGGCACTGTGTATGTGTTACTCCAATGTGGTACATGGCACTGTGTATGTGTTACTCCAATGTGGTACATGGCACTGTGTATGTGTTACTCCAATGTGGTACATGGCACTGTGTATGTGTTACTCCAATGTGGTACATGACACTGTGTATGTGTTACTCCAATGTGGTACATGGCACTGTGTATGTGTTACTCCAATGTGGTACATGGCACTGTGTATGTGTTACTCCAATGTGGTACATGGCACTGTGTATGTGTTACTCCAATGTGGTACATGGCACTGTGTATGTGTTACTCCAATGTGGTACATGACACTGTGTATGTGTTACTCCAATGTGGTACATGGCACTGTGTATGTGTTACTCCAATGTGGTACATGGCACTGTGTATGTGTTACTCCAATGTGGTACATGGAACTGTGTATGTGTTACTCCAATGTGGTACATGGCACTGTGTATGTGTTACTCCAATGTGGTACATGGCACTGTGTATGTGTTACTCCAATGTGGTACATGACACTGTGTATGTGTTACTCCAATGTGGTACATGGCACTGTGTATGTGTTACTCCAATGTGGTACATGGCACTGTGTATGTGTTACTCCAATGTGGTACATGGCACTGTGTATGTGTTACTCCAATGTGGTACATGGCACTGTGTATGTGTTTCTCCAATGTGGTACATGACACTGTGTATGTGTTACTCCAATGTGGTACATGGCACTGTGTATGTGTTACTCCAATGTGGTACATGGCACTGTGTATGTGTTACTCCAATGTGGTACATGGCACTGTGTATGTGTTACTCCAATGTGGTACATGGCACTGTGTATGTGTTACTCCAATGTGGTACATGGCACTGTGTATGTGTTACTCCAATGTGGTACATGACACTGTGTATGTGTTACTCCAATGTGGTACATGACACTGTGTATGTGTTACTCCAATGTGGTACATGGCACTGTGTATGTGTTACTCCAATGTGGTACATGGCACTGTGTATGTGTTACTCCAATGTGGTACATGGCACTGTGTATGTGTTACTCCAATGTGGTACATGGCACTGTGTATGTGTTACTCCAATGTGGTACATGACACTGTGTATGTGTTACTCCAATGTGGTACATGGCACTGTGTATGTGTTACTCTAATGTGGTACATGGCACTGTGTATGTGTTACTCCAATGTGGTACATGGCACTGTGTATGTGTTACTCCAATGTGGTACATGGCACTGTGTATGTGTTACTCCAATGTGGTACATGACACTGTGTATGTGTTACTCCAATGTGGTACATGGCACTGTGTATGTGTTACTCCAATGTGGTACATGGCACTGTGTATGTGTTACTCCAATGTGGTACATGGCACTGTGTATGTGTTACTCCAATGTGGTACATGACACTGTGTATGTGTTACTCCAATGTGGTACATGGCACTGTGTATGTGTTACTCCAATGTGGTACTTGGCACTGTGTATGTGTTACTCCAACGTGGTACATGGCAATGTGTATGTGTTACTCCAACGTGGTACATGGCACTGTGTATGTGTTACTCCAACGTGGTACATGGCACTGTGTATGTGTTACTCCAACGTGGTACATGACACTGTGTATGTGTTACTCCAACGTGGTACATGGCACTGTGTATGTGTTACTCCAATGTGGTACATGACACTGTGTATGTGTTACTCCAATGTGGTACATGGCACTGTGTATGTGTTACTCCAATGTGGTACATGACACTGTGTATGTGTTACTCCAATGTGGTACATGGCACTGTGTATGTGTTACTCCAATGTGGTACATGACACTGTGTATGTGTTACTCCAATGTGGTACATGACACTGTGTATGTGTTACTCCAATGTGGTACATGGCACTGTGTATGTGTTATTCCAATGTGGCACATGGCACTGTGTATGTGTTACTCCAATGTGGTACATGGCACTGTGTATGTGCTACTCCAATGTGGTACATGACACTGTGTATGTGTTACTCCAATGTGGTACATGGCACTGTGTATGTGTTACTCCAATGTGGTACATGACACTGTGTATGTGTTACTCCAATGTGGTACATGACACTGTGTATGTGTTACTCCAATGTGGTACATGGCACTGTGTATGTGTTATTCCAATGTGGCACATGGCACTGTGTATGTGTTACTCCAATGTGGTACATGGCACTGTGTATGTGTTACTCCAATGTGGTACATGACACTGTGTATGTGTTACTCCAATGTGGTACATGGCACTGTGTATGTGTTACTCCAATGTGGTACATGGCACTGTGTATGTGTTACTCCAATGTGGTACATGGCACTGTGTATGTGTTACTCCAATGTGGTACATGGCACTGTGTATGTGTTACTCCAATGTGGCACATGGCACTGTGTATGTGTTACTCCAATGTGGTACATGACACTGTGTATGTGTTACTCCAATGTGGTACATGGCACTGTGTATGTGTTACTCCAATGTGGTACATGACACTGTGTATGTGTTACTCCAATGTGGTACATGGCACTGTGTATGTGTTACTCCAATGTGGTACATGGCACTGTGTATGTGTTTCTCCAACGTGGTACATGGCACTGTGTATGTGTTACTCCAATGTGGTACATGACACTGTGTATGTGTTACTCCAATGTGGTACATGACACTGTGTATGTGTTACTCCAATGTGGTACATGACACTGTGTATGTGTTTCTCCAACGTGGTACATGGCACTGTGTATGTGTTACTCCAATGTGGTACATGACACTGTGTATGTGTTACTCCAATGTGGTACATGGCACTGTGTATGTGTTATTCCAATGTGGTACATGGCACTGTGTATGTGTTACTTCCAGACTTTAGATCTCGGCTGCATTGTTTTTGTCCATAGAATGGCATCAATATTGTGCAGAGCCTACCCATGTGCGGTAGTTCGTGCTGACGCCTGAGCTCAATGACTCCACACAAGAGATATGTTATAACACATGTAGGACAAGCAGCATACGGGTTATGAATGTCATAATTATTGGTTCACCATCTCTCAGGCAAGGTTTCCCCACTTACACGTGAAACTAAATTTCTGTGCAGTATGTACAGCTAGTAGTGGTCCCTTCCTGTGACAGTGTACACATATTACATTTGCAGTGTACATAAGGCGTTCATTGTAACAAAACTCTTTAGTATAACATGTCGTATCAAACTATTTTATTCAGCTTTCTATAAACGATAACTCGTATGATGCTCACTGCTCTCTGTGATATAAGATGACTGTTGATTGCAGACTTCCTGAATGGCCCCCTGAACGTGATGATAGACCTGATCTGTAAAGTGACAATATATTGGTATGCTGGGAACTTCATGTGCAAACTCATCCAGTACACCAGGGTAAGTAGTTCCTTCATGTGTAGATATCTGGTGTGTGCACTAAGAGGCCTGTCACGGTGTATAACAGCTGCAGTTTACAGGATAGACGTAGTATGAGGGTGAGTGAGTGAGTTGGGTTTAACGCCGCTATTCCAGTTATATCGCGCCCTCTCAGCTTAATGTGGGAGGAAAGCCGGAAGTGATACAGGTCTCAGACGTTAACCACTTCGGTGAAACCCACGAGCACGGGTATGGTTTCTGGCGTGCCCAAGGGACGCAACTCTGCACAGCGAATCGCGGCGCCTAAGACGACTGGGCCACCCGTGCCACCTGGTATGATGGAAGTATAAAAATGTATGCAATGGTATAAACACACTCAAAATGAAAGCAATAGTCTTTCATTTGTAATTAAACCGCTGACCAAAAGCGTGAAATCATAAGCGTTTGAATTCCGTTCCATAGGAAATATAAATTGACCCACGCCAGTAAAAACAAAACAGTCGCTTCGTGGTAGCGATCCAGAGAACCGCCAAGACATTTACTAACCGGAAATGGATGGTTATACCGAAACTGACATCCGATCATGAAACGAAATGAACCTGAACTACATCGGAGTGGCGTGGTTTCCTTCCACCCTTTTTGGAATATTAACATCTTGTTTTAGATTACAGTTACGAAAATAGGAAATGATGTGGATATATGGACTGAAACTCTTTGTTTTACAGGATCAGTTCATTTCCCAGTATCCCGTCTCCTGCCACCTTGGGTAGCCCATATCATGAGTAGGCCTTTGTTGTGGTGTGGGTGGAACATGGGGGGTTGACAATATCAGGTGGAACAGTTGGCAGCGTACCATGTGTGTTAAAAGTTAAGTATTTGGTTCAAAGCAAGGATTGGAATCATTTAGCATATGACTCATGATCTTCAAGACCACGAATATTACATGGAGATGGTGGTGTAATGACAGTTGGCTTAATGGGATAACAGTCATAAGTATGAATGTCATAAAACTTATTTTGTCTCCTTTCAGGAAAACCAAACCTCCTACACAAAGATCATAAGTTGGGGTTTTGACGTTTCCATTGCATTTTAATTTTTTCACTGTAGTAATAATTAGGCATCCTGGTGTCTTGTTGGAGCGAGATGATATCTCTGTCTTCTACAGGGAGCTTACCGCCTGTAACTTGATCCCTGGAGTCTTGCTGGAGCGAGATGATATCTCTGTCTTCTACAGGGAGGTGATCGCCTGTGACTTGATCCCTGGAGTCTTGCTGGAGCGAGATGATATCTCTGTCTTCTACAGGGAGCTTACCGCCTGTAACTTGATCCCTGGAGTCTTGTTGGAGCGAGATGATATCTCTGTCTTCTACAGGGAGGTGACCGCCTGTGACTTGATCCCTGGAGTCTTGTTGGAGCGAGATGATATCTCTGTCTTCTACAGGGAGTTGATCGCCTGTGACTTGATCACTGGTGTCTTGTTGGAGCGAGTTGAGATCTCTGTCTTCTACAGGGAGGTGACCGCCTGTAACCTGATCCCTGGAGTCTTGTTGGAGCGAGATGATATCTCTGTCTTCTACAGGGAGGTGACCGCCTGTAACTTGATCCCTGGAGTCTTGTTGGAGCGAGATGATATCTCTGTCTTCTACAGGGAGGTGATCGCCTGTGACTTGATCACTGGTGTCTTGTTTGAAAGAGATGATATCTCTGTCTTCTACAGGGAGGTGATCGTCTGTGGCTTGATCCCTCTGTGTCGGAATCTCACGAGCAGATAAGACACACTTGTGCATGCTGGAGTTGAGGTTTGCAAAGGCTAGAGCAAGGGTGACATTTGATATAGGTCCTACTTCGTGGATGCGGTTAAGACACACCATTCCAAGCTCCTGAATTACACGTTCCGCCACATTCCGCCACAAGAGAACGTCTGTACTTATTGAGAATAGGGTTATTGGTCAATGCAACAAAACAAGGCTCTGGGTCCACACGAACAGTGATACCGACATCACCAAGTGAGCATATTCCGCACAGGGTTCATTGTCAATTGACTGACATGGTGGATGTCATGGATGAGATGGCGAACAAAGACCAGCTGGCGATATCGACGCATGACGTCACCGGCATAGGAACAAACTATGATAGATGGGGGACTGGCTGAGGATTGTGGATATAACTGCTTTGGAATGGATTGGAGTGACATGCAGTGAAGGCAAGAGGTTTTGGTCTTGGGAGCTCTATCCAAATATAAGGCGAAAATGTATCTATCTATTGTAAATAGAAGTGAGAAGACCACCAAGGACATTTCAAGGTACAGCGATAGGCTCATTAGTGTTCTGGAAGGGGTAATTATCTCTCACAACAAGCAAACCATCTTCAGCTATAGATAACTCACGTTGGTATCGGAACATTAGTCATTTTGTATGTTGGACGAATAACTTGTGAAAGATGTGAATGAGTTCGCCGAAGGTCAGGACACTCACTCCTGGTGAATGGCATACAGACTCCATCCTGGTGAATGGCATACAGACTCCATCCTGGTGAATGGCATACAGACTCCATCCTGGTGAATGGCATACAGACTCCATCCTGGTGAATGGCATACAGACTCCATCCTGGTGAATGGCATACAGACTCCATCCTGGTGAATGGCATACAGACTCCATCCTGGTGAATGGCATACAGACTCCATCCTGGTGAATGGCATACAGACTCCATTCTGGTGAATGGCATACAGACTCCATCCTGGTGAATGGCATACAGACTCCATCATCCTTCACTGTGATGCCTCTGACATCAGAACCGTCTGTTTCTCGTATGAAACGACATATCTGACAGCTTTGATCTGAACAATCACTTGGGTTTCGACTAGCATAATCAGATGTGAAATTTGCGGCATCAGAGATATGACGACTGTGCACTTGATACCTGCTACCAGTGGCAAGGAAAGTAGTTACCCTTGACCTTGCAGGGTATTCACCTCGTGTCAGCTCCTAATACGCTTGAAGACAGGGTCGACTGTCTGTGAGGATCTGAGCAGTTTGTCTTGACTGTGTAATGTATGGGTCAAAGTGTTTGACGTCCGCTCAATTACCTAATGCATGCTGGCTGGTGTTTTTTTAGTTTAGCTTTGAAAAATGCAGGAGGAAAGGCTTGTCTTGCCTCAGTGCAAATACTGTTGCAGCCAGTCCTTTGAATGAGACAGAAGCATCAGTTACTATCCATAAGCAATAACTGGGTCTTTGTGAAGTGATAGTCTTGCAATAGGAAAGTGCTGATTGCGCTTTGTGTAATGCTTGTGTCAGTGTCATACGATTTTTATTCTGAGACAGTCGACCCGCTGTTGCTTGGCCCAAGGCATCCAGGAATAGGGCATATCCATGTGCGACGCGACTGAGGACCTGGAAAGCTCGGATAATGGACCGAAGAGCTTGCACAGTTTGCAGAGAGTCCAACAGTCGATATTGCTGCTGCTGCTACTCCGCAACAATATGTCATAGACGACTGGGTTTGAAAAGATCAGATTTCACAATGTATTTTTTCCATTGTCCAAGATCTCGTAACATTATTTCCACATTGGGCTTGAGGGAAGGTAATGGTTTGCTGCACTGGCCAACCTCGCAAATTGGATGTTACCAGACGATTCATTCCATTTGACTTCTTTGCCAGAAATGAATAGTTTAGTTATTCCACAGTTACATTCACCTGCTCATTTTTTACACCGGCTTTTTAGAGTAATCTCTCAAGCTCAAACCAATTATTCTCGGTTGTAGTGGGGGATTCCCCCTCCTTTCGGGTGGGAGTGTCGGGTCCATCTTAACTGCAGCCTCAATTTTACCACTGAAACCACAGTTTACAGAACACATTGTCATACTATGTGCGAAGATCTTTGCGATGGGTAATACCTGCATTGAAGTCAAGATGGTTATCTTTAAAAAAAACGCAGTGAGACGCTAGAATATGTCATCAGGTTTCTCAGCCGGTTTGAGTGTTTTATTGACCAAGCCTTGAAAGTGGGCGCCCCTGGATTGAAAGCCATAATGCTGCCTGATATGTTTCCAAATGTCTGGTAATGACGTAAAACCTATAATGATGGAAATGTAGTCGATGTGTACATACATATAACTTACCTCGTATGGAAAAAGTTGCATTCTGACTTTGATTATGCTTATTCTAACAGAATACAACTGAAAACAACAGCTGTCTTTTATATCGTAAATGTAACCCCTGAACGGTTATTGCAATTTGTTTATTACAACACATCTAAAGATTTATATCACAAAGTTTCGAATTTACCGATGACGCCAATCCATTTGAATTAAACAATGAATGTCCCCAATGCAATGAGCATGCAATTTTAGATGTCCCACCGCAGTTACATCAACCCAATAGAGAACACTCTGTCAAGGGCGCATGGTAGCTAATCAAATCCAGGACAACCCTGGGTATAAAAGCCAACACGCAAATCGAATCTCCCGTAATTCACTCCGATTTCCCACGGGACGTTTAAAGGTCATGATGAGGTCTGTTGAAACATAGCTTCACTATACGCCAATGTATAGCCAGACGTTTTCTGTCATCGACATCGACACATTGTACATGTCCAGCGGCAGAGAGAACCAGTGTACATGAACGTGTCAATGTTGATCACTTCACGTTTATACAGAGGTTAACTTTCGTCAGCATTTTGTGTTTGGCTCTTTTAGTCACGATTACATGTTGTGTGAACACTCAGTGATACTTTTCCATTCCTAAGTAAATTATCAATCCGAGCTGTAACCATAGTGTGTTGAGGTTTGATTGAATTAGTTACTAGACTGCAAACATTTTAGTTTGTTTTAATTTCTATTTTATTATTGTATTGCATTGTCTGTCGACTAACCATATGCCCTAAGGCATTCGTCGCTGATGACGTCACTGTGAGGACTCTATTTCGGAGATGCAAAGTACGCAGGTAACAGTCTTCATTGGGCGTAGTTACCCAGGGCCTGCCTGTTCTTGGGCTGTCCGTTCTGTCTGTGACGTTGCAT